TGGGTATCTTTTTGGGGAACGTTTCGCCACACAGTGGCTTCATCAGTCCATAAAAAGGGGAAAAATTTGAACGGGAGGAAAATGAGGTAATCAGCCCCTCAACCTTTGGTCGATGTGGTCGTCCATCAATCTTGAATAGAATACGGTAGTGCTGAGGAGCTTTTTTAAACCGTTGGAGGGAGTGCAGCAGTATAGGTGTGTAACATTTGTTCAATGTTGAAGTAGGTCGTGCCCATTGCTTGCCTAATTTTTAGCACGACTTACTTCACATTGAAAAAAGTTAAGCCTAATGCGACTTCTTGACAAAGGTTTAGCCCCTCCACGATGCCGTTTTTCAAGCTTAACTTAACGAAAATATCAAAAGTAAAATGTTACTAATCACCTGTGGTTCAATTTACCTAACACTGTCGGAATTTAACCAACAGTTTTTCGAGGTTTAACCAAACATAGGAATTTAATGCCATAAATCACAAGGTCATCAGATGCTGCATATTTATTCGTCACCAAAATAGGAGTTAATAATTTAATACAGTTATATTGTCGGTATGTTTTATGATCAGACTCTAATTACACATGGATCATTAAATTACTTCATGAACAACTAGAATACCTATTAGCTAGGTTACTAAATTCAAAGTTTCACCCTGGTGGATTCGCACTTGATAAGCCCAGTTAATAACTTAAAAAAATCTTCTATTGTGGGTTGACTTTGACTCGCTAACAAAGGGCAGGAACGTGGGCATGTGAAGATTCTAGGTCTTAGTCATTATCTTTAAGTTGTAGATGAGGTTTCAGGAACCGACATGTGAAAATTCAGTTCATGTCAACTTGTATATGAGAAACGTTTCGCCACACAGGGCTTCATCAGTCAAAAAGGAGAATCTTAACAGGAGGAGAATGAGGTAATAGCCCTCAACCTTGATCGATGTGGTCAGTCCTCACTTAAGGTATGGAATGATACGTGCTGACTTATAAACCGTTGCGGGAGTCGCATCATAGGTCGTGTAACATTTGTTCAATGTTGAGAGTTTCGGCCAATTGTTGCCTAATCTTGGGCTACCTAACTTACATGTGAAATGTTTACACATATATGGTTCACTGTCAACCTGCACCTGGCAGGTTGTAAGAAAACCCTTGCACGTTATCCATTTATTCAAGATTTGGACTGAGCACATCGACTTCAGTTGAGGGATCAATACCTCATTCTCTCCTGTTCACGATTCTCCTTCGAGTTGATTAAGCCGCACTGTGTTGCTAACGTTTCCTCAAAGAACCAAGATTCTCGGCATGGCTGAAACCTCAATTTATCATTTAACTTTATTCCCGACTGTTACCGTCATTATCTACATAAACCTAGCTACCTTCCCAGGTATTCGATGAAATGCCTCACGTTAGGCAATGTTCGAATACAGTGTTCACTTTCAAAATTTACATGACCTATTTAAGTTTAAACCAATTTTTAGGTTAGAGTTTGTTAATCTAAGGATAATTCACATTTAGTTAACTGCAAATAAATACATTGGATGGCTTACGTCTGTCAAAATAGGGCTAGTACAAAGTGATTTAAATAAACAGTTTAGAAAACAGTAAAGCAAGAGAAAGAGGGAGGGAGGTGAAGAAAGGAGGGTGAAGATAGGATGGAAGTAAATGGCATAAAATACCGACACAATGGAAATATATAGTATAATGTGAGCCTTTATTGACAATGTTTCGCCCACGCAGTGATCACATACTGCTTGAACATCAAAATGGTATACAATACCGACAGGTTGTTAGGTAAGACACACATGCAACAGTTAGGCAACTTTATTCCGAAACGTTTCGCCTACACAGTAGGCTTCTTCAGTCGAATACAGAAAGTAGGCAGGAACAGTAGAGATGCGAAGACGATATAATCAGTCCATCACCCTTGAAGTCGTAGAATTTGAGGTTGTCAGTCCCTCAGCCTGGAGAAGTTCAGTTCCACAGTCAGGAACTATCTGAAGATCAAGCGACAGTGCGGAGACTTAAATAATGAGAAGAAAAAGAAAAAGAAGTAGAAGTTGTAGTAGTAGAAGTTGTAGTTGTAGTAGTAGAAGTTGTAGTTGTAGTAGTAGAAGTTGTAGTAGTAGTAGTAGTAGAAGTTGTAGTAGTAGTAGAAGTTGTAGTAGTAGTAGTTGTAGTAGTAGTAAGTTGTAGTAGTAGTAGAAGTGTAGTAGTTAGTAGTGTAGAAGTTGTAGTAGTAGTGTAGTAGTAGTAGAAGTTGTAGTAGTAGTAGAAGTTGTGTAGTAGTAGTAGAGTAGTAGAAGTATGTAGTAGAAGTTTAGAGTAGAGTAGTAGAAGTTGTGTAGTTAGTAGAAGTTGTAGTAGTAGAAGTTGTAGTAGTAGTAGAAGTTGTAGTAGTAGTAGTAGTAGTAGAGTTGTAGTAGTAGTTAGTAGTAGTAGAAGTTGTAGTAGTAGTAGAAAGTTGTAGTAGTTAGTAGTAGAAGTTGTAGTAGTAGTAGTAGAAGTTGTAGTTAGTAGAAGTTGAAAGTAGTAGAAGTTGTAGTAGAGTAGAAGTGTAGTAGTAGTAGTAGTAGAAGTTGGTAGTAGTAGAAGTTGTAGTAAAGATTGTTGTAGAAAAGTTAGTAGTAGAGTTGTAGTAGTAGAGTTAGTAGTAGAAGTTGTAGAAGTTGTTAGTAGTAGAAGTTGTAGAGTAGTAGTAGTAGAAGTTGTAGTAGTAGAAGTTGTAGAAGTTGTAGTAGTAGTAGAAGTTGTAGAAGTTGTAGTAGTAGAAGTTAGTAGTTAGAGTAGAAGTTGTAGTAGTAGTAGAAGTTGTAGTAGTAGTAGTAGTAGAAGTTGTAGTAGAAGTTGTAGTAGTAGTAGTAGTAGAAGTTGTAGTAGTAGTAGAAGTTGTAGTAGTAGTAGAAGTTGTAGTAGTAGTAGTAGTAGAAGTTGTAGTAGTAGTAGAAGTTGAGTAGTAGTAGAAGTTGTAGTAGTAGAGTTGTAGAAGTTAGTAGAAGTTGTAGTAGTAGTAGAAGTTGTAGTAGTAGAAGTTGTAGTAGTAGTAGAAGTTGTAGTAGTAGTAGCAGCAGCAGCAAGAATGTAGCCACTGAGAGTTCATGTTCCTCTCAGATCCAGCAATTCTCACTTGAAAAGGTTGTCCAAGGCGTTTTCTGTACCAAGATGCCACGTGTTGCAGTGTCTGACAAGATGAACATCTTGGTACAGAAAACACCTTGGACAACCTTTTCAAGTGAGAATTGTTGGATCTGAGAGGGACATGAACTCTCAGTGGCTACATTCTCACTACTACTACTATGCACCTCTCCTTCCGACAGTATTTAAGTCTGCACTGTCGCTTGATCTTCAGATAGTTCCTGACTATGGAACTGAACTTCTCCAGGCTGAGGGACTAACAACCTCAAATTCTAAGACTTCAAGGGTGATGGACTGATTACATCGTCTTCACATCTCTACTGTTCCTGCCTACTTTCTGTATTCGACTGAAGAAGCCTACTGTGTAGGCGAAACGTTTCGGAATAAAGTTGCCTAACTGTTACATACGTGTTTTGCCTAACATACTGCTTAAGTGTTTATATTTCCAGGGTGAAGATGGGAGAGGGTGAAGAGCAGGCTAGGATACAAGATAGGCGGAGCACTGCAGCAGACCTACTGGCTTTACACATGCTAGACAGAATCAACTCGCAGCCACCTATCCTTACTCCATGTACTAGTCGAACTCATTTTTAAACCTACCCAAAGATTAAATAGTGTGGTTAATTTAAGATGTAAAGACGAATAGCCTACCACTGTTAGTCGAGAGTAAAAGTACATATTTAATCAAATACTAAGGGTTTATGTTGATGCGGGTTGGTAGTGGATTGATATAAAGGGGTGTGCATGTCACCAGCTCTTGTCTCCAGGCGAGGGCCGTAATAAGTCTGTAATGTGGCTGTTTTACAGCAACATACCTGCTTTGACTCACAGTAGCTAGTAAAGTGTAGTTCCTCTCGGCTTGCCTAATCTTAAAAGATGTTGAGGATTTTCGCGGAAACTAAATACCTAGGGATTATGTGGTTGGGGGTGGATTAAATCTAAATTACCTCCCATAGAGAAGAAATGCTTTATACAAAACTATTTCTATAGTGGGGTACAATATCTGAAACTATAGTTAAGTGACATTTATTAATTACTTCACAGAAAACCCTTTATGCAGGCAGAATACAGCATGTAGAGTACAAAGGAATGTCACGAGCAGAGGTGAAAAGCTGGTAGCCTCACATGAACAGGTTTAAATCTTATTTACAACAACCGGTGAATAGGCTTGTATGTAATTGCCTCCAGTGAAATAATGTAATCCAGAAAACGGATTAAAAAACAGTCAGTGTATACACACCTCTGAATAAATTATTCTCAGTGTTCAGTTATAGAAGCGGATAGCGCAGAAACTACTAATTAATTTTTGCAGCATGCTCAATATCTTAGTTTCTATCTAGATAATGTCACTAGCATATTAATTTACAATTTAAGGTAAACGTATATCTTCAGTAATAAATTGTGGGTGTGAACCTAAGTAAATACTGCCGTAGCAACAGTCCACTGGCTATCACGACTACACTACACTTACACTACAATCACAAGACACTGGTGATACACCAGTGGCTGCTTACTCGTGGGTATACTACATTGAAAAGCTAGCTGTAGCCTGGTTTAGATCATTGCTACCCACTACCACTGCAGTTGCGTAACCCATGTTGAGAAACTTCTCCCAAAGCATTACCATTACTATGTTGGCTGATCACGATTAAAAAAATTACTAGTGTGCACGTCACTAGTACACCAATCAAGGATACCTAGATACTTTAATTCATAATGGAAGGATTAAAGCAAAATTTAAAATTTTTACGAAATACACCATTTGGGAAATATACCATTGGTGCTCTCGGTGAACACTCGCCTACATATACTCATACAATATATACTGTAGTGCTGTATTTAGTGTTTTTTAGGGACTATACCATACACTAATGGTTACTCACCCCACACAACACAACGAACAGGAGCAGGTACTTCATCTTTGTTTCTGCACTGCAGTCAGGGATGGCTGACACGTCTGCTGGTAAGGCTGTGGCTGGTATTTCTGTAGAGGAGACTTGAGGCAGGTGACGAGGGATGACGTGTACTGCTGGTGATGGCTCATCCAAAGTGACGGAGGACAGCGTCTCGCTCCCTCAGGTGACCACCGGCAACTGAGGCATTTTCCACGAATCGCAGTTTTATATTCAGTGGGTTTTTCTCAGCACATCGGAAGCAACGAGGCTGTCCTCAGTGCTTCCAAACACATCATTGTTTTTTGTTTTATGAGTTGTTGGGACAAGAGCTGTGATGGGATTAAATGTGTGGCTGTGATGAAGGAGGGAAATTAAATAAATGATTGAGGGTGATGGATAGTAGTGTAGAATCCACACTAATCTGTGTGGACAGTGGAATAATAAGAATAATTATTGTATAACGGTTGATTAAGGGTTAGCGGAGATAATGAAAATAATGAAGAGGGTAGCGTTAAGGAGTTGATCAGTTCTGGAGCTGAAGCGACTCTTAATATCTTCCAAAATATATTAGACGAATACACAAATGAAAATAATAATAATAATAATAATAATAATAATAATAATAATTTAGTTATTTCTATAAGTGCATGACACAACTTATACAGAATGAGCAAGGTGTATATAACATGGACCAGCAGACCTACTGCAGTGCTCTAGTAAGTACAGTTATATACCTAGCAACGCATGTGTAAATTAACATGACTCACGAAATCGTAATGACACGATTGCAAACAAACCATACCACGGGTTCAAATCCCGCCCGTGGTATGGTTTTTTTTGTGTAAATTATCTGGGACACTAACAAAAATTCGGACAAACTGATTTACTTCCATTGGGGTCCTGTAGTATCTTACTGAAAGGCAATGAAGTGATGCGATAACGTCAGGTAGCTGGAAAAAAAAAGACATAAAATGCAAACACAAGGATATTTTATTGGACAAGCTTCGTTCCTGGGACCTTGCTAACTCCATATATACACACTAACACACAACGGAATCATGGGACAAACATCGTCCTTCCTACCACCAGGTGCGGCAGTCACCTGAGTCATACATGTTTGTTACCCGTGTGTACACAGGCTATCACCGAGAGGCTTATTTTTCTTAGCGTATATGTGTTGCAAGTTTAATTTCCTATACAGGATTAAAAGTATTCTTGTCTGGTGGTTATAAGGTTTTAAGAATATAAGAAAGGAGTACTGCATTTGGCCTGCTGGCCCATGCTGGGCGGGTCCAAATCACCTACTGGCCTAAGTTTATTTTGGGGTCCAAGCACATCAAGTTAAAAAGGGAAAGGAGCACTGCACAGATTTTTTTTTTTAAAAATATTTTTTTTAAAAACTTTAAAAATTTAAACAAGGTTGTAAAAATATTAAAAAAACACCACAATACAAGTCTGTACAAGATTACTTAAAAAAAAAAAACCAAAAGGTGCAGAAAAAAAATTTTAAAAACCTAATACAAAATAGAAATGTGTAACAAACACCAAAAGACATCCCTTTCCAACACTGACACACATTATTTTAAAGTAAAATTCTGACACTTTACCACAAAACTTTTTTGGGGGGGCGCCCCCCCTTTTAAAAACCCATCATAAATACGCCCACATCATTCCACATTTAAAAGATCATAAAATGATCAAACTTTTAGTTTATTAACTTTTAAAATAGATATGCAACTTTTTTTAGGGAGATTTTACTTAAAAACAAACTTGCATTTATTTTAAAACAGGCCCTCCATAACAAAAATAAACTTTAAAAAGTAAAACGATAAACAAAATCATCAACAACTCCCCAAAATTTATACAGATATTATAATTTTTGGGCCCCCTTTTTGGTCGCAGACAATTTACTCACAGAAAGATTCCACAAAATTTGGTTAAGTTTTTATAATAGGAAAAATCCAAAACATTTTCCAAAAAATAAATTTTTGTAATGTGCCCTTTTTAAAAAGTTTTAATGCAGTAAAGGGGAAAAGTCACAACATACCACACTGAAATATTCATTGCTACAAAAAAAATGGATATAACAATTAAATAAATCATTACATCAAACCCCAAGCTTACCGAAAAAACTAAAACACCAAGCCACACTTTACTTATAAACCCCCCGGCCCGGGGTTAACCCGGGGTCAGAGAGTCTAAAAACCCCAAAAACCCCCCGGGTCGCTTTAGCCACTATCAAAAGAAATCATTTCACGCCCACGCATACCTCAAAAACCCACCCATTTCCCCCCCCTTAAAGTTTTCCCAACGCCCATAATCCCTGAGGGGGGAACAAAACGATATCCTTCCAAAAAGGGTTTAAAAATGCCACCTGCTCCCAGGGGGTTCCTTTTTTCCTCGTTCCCGTCCCATAAAATATCGCTCCCAGGCCCTAAACCCTCCCCTTACTGACACATTTCTGTAAACCCCCCCTATAAAAAAGCCCGGGGACTAGAAACCCATTGCTTTTCTGTCCCGGAAACCCCCCCCCCCCCCCATCTAAACTTAATACTCTTAAAACGCTAATCCCCACCTCCACCCACCAAAACGTAAAACCCTCCCTAAACCACTCCCTCACGGGTTTCCCAAACCCTTGCACAAAAAAATACCCATGAAAGACAGTGTCAATGTCCCCACACAACAACACCCCCCCCCACCCTCCTGCAAAACGCCTATTTCCCAAAACACTTCTCCAAAACGGCAATAAAATTGGGGGAGAAATTTAAACATTATCTTCCTTACCTTTCCCTTTCCCAATCGAAACCCTTTTTAAAAAGGGCCCCCAAATATATCACCCACGCATACACCCGGAGGGATAACCTTCCCCCTTTAACAACCCCTCCCTCCCCACCCACCTGACCCTTTTTTCCAATCTTGACCCCGTGGGTCCCGTGCAAAAAATTTAATAACCTCAACTTTCCCCTTCCACATCTGGACACCCTTTTACCCCTCCCCAATCCAACGCCCAAAACCCCTTAAAACCCAATCCCAAAACCCTGTCCCCGCAACCCTACCCTCCCTCAAATAACTGTTTTTTTCCCATACATGCCCAACACCCTTTTGGGATGAAAAGGGCCTTTAAACCCCCCACCCTCCCCGGCATCCCGGAAGACCACATCCTGGGAAAAAACCGGGCCCACATCCCAACCCCAAATATTCGATAACCCCGCTTCAAAAACCCCTTCCCTCAACGCACAGATTTAAGGGATAAAAACCCTCCCCACATGCTAAAAGCTTACCAACAAAAGAAAACATTCACCCAAAAATAGCCACGATTTACTCAGTCCTCCGAAAACCAATCCCCCCAAATCTCCCCAAAGCCCCCCTACCCACAGCTTCCCCTCAAAATTCACCTCCCTCGCCTCCTAAAGGGTTTTTTCCCATATGAAAAACCCCCACACCCCTTTAAATTTTGACAAAAACCGGGGGCCACCCTTTCCCTTCCGCCCTAGACCCCCACCCACGCCATCCCCCACCCCATAACATAGACATTTCCCTTTTAAAACCATCATCCCTGTTCCCCCCTTCTAAACTTTTCCACAAAATTCACCCAAAAACCCCCCTTTCGTAAGCCCATCGACCTCCTAAATAAAAACCGTGGTATCATCCACATAACCCACACCCCCTGGTTCCACCAAGCCATTTCCCTCTCTCTTCACCCCTCCCCACAACCCCCTCGCACACCCCCATAGAAGGGAAACCCTAAAATCAACGCGAAGAGAAGCTGCGACACAGGGCACCCTTGCCTCAACCCCTTTCCATCCTAACTAGTTTTCCTAGCCTACCATTTACCTGAAACCCCCCCGCCCAAATTTGCCTGCTCTACAACCCCTTTTGCCCAACTAAACGTTTTTCCCTTCCCCAAAATTTTCCCCACTGGATTAACTTCCACATTGCCTCATCTTCCACAAAAATCATATGCTGCATGCCCAATCCAATGCAAAAACCCCCCAACCTTTTTTTCCCCCCCCTCCCATTTTTCGTCTATAAACCAAACGTAGACCCCTTGCCCCACACACGTTGACGCCCAGGAAACACCTTATTGACCCTAAATCCAAAACTTTGTAAAAAATTTTTTTCACCCCCTATTCCCTAACTTTTTAAGCAAAATCTTGTAATCCCCCAAACCATTAAAGATACGATCGATAATCATGTAGGGATCAAAAGCCTTCTTTTTGGGAAACCCATGACCCCCCCAAACCCCACCCTACGTTGCTTTTCCCCCCCAATCTCCCTTTGGTTTTTCATACTTTAAAAATAAAACCACTAAAAATTAAAACCCCCAAACATTCCCATTTTTTCCTTAAAAAAATTTTCAAAAAGGAATCCACAATCCCCGGCGTTTTTCCCAAACACTCAACTTTTCCACTGCCAATCTAATCTCCCCCCGTTTATAGGCCCCTTTCAGATTCAACCGACCCTTTAATCTCGAGTTTAAACAACATCCCCCTGCACCCCTTTTCCCCTAGCCCCCTCTTATTAACCCCCCCCTCTTTTGCCATGCATCTCGAAACCATCATCCACGTAGAAAACCCATCCCTCTGTTGAAAAAAAATAGTACCTGCCCCTGACGAAAACCCCCTCCAATTGCTTTTTTGGCCACTTAAGCTCTTTAAATTTTTCCATCCCCTGCGCTTTTTCCCCTTCCCGGCCCCAAGACATATGCCGAAGGAAAATCCCCCAAAAAAACCCTTTAAATCTATTCCTCCCGCGTTTCGGGGCCACATCAAATTCAGATTTTGAATGTCCCAAATTTCAATTTTTTTAAAAACCCTAAAATCTCAGCCCCCCGGAATTTTCCCCCCCCTGCCCCATATAGCATTCCTGCATTTGCCCTTTCCCCAGGTAATGTAAAAAAACCATATTAAAATTTCCGCCCCTTCCTTTCCCGCTTCTGAAAAAAATCCCTCCCCTTTCCCCCTTTAAACCAAACCGGTCCCCCCCCTACAGTCTCCCCCACCATCTCCTCCAAGCACCCCCAAAAAGTTTCCCCCTCCCCCCCCCTTTGGGCGCAAAAACCCCCAACATTCAATTCCCCAAAACCCCTGAAACTTTTTGGGCAATCCCCCCCCCAATTTCCAACCCCCCAGAACCCCTCTATGATCAGAGAAGCTCACATTCAAGCACTAAACACTGCTTACCCCACACCCCGAGAAAAATTTAAAATTTG